TAGAATTAGAATTAAGGTTAGTGGAATTTATAAAAAAAATTTGTCTATGAAATGAGCTTCTGTGAAATAAATTGTCGATGAAATAGACTTGTCTGCGAAATAAGTGTCGGTGAAATAAACATGTCGGTGAATTTTTTTTGGTGAAATATTATGTCTACAAAACGAGCGTCAGTGAAGTGATACGTATCCATTAATGCAGATGTATAAATTATACGTAATGGTAATTAAGTATTTATGTTTTGCGATCTTAATTTGTTGCTGCTGTTTTTTTTCTTTTTTTTGCAATGTTCTTTATACTCGCTAAATGAAATGATTTGTACGTAATGATAAATAGCGATCGTTTTATTTTTGTAAATTTATTTAAATGTTCTTTATACTCACTGACTAGATTAATGCAAATTAATGTAATGGTAAATGAGTATTTATCTTGTTTTATGTTCTTGTTTTGCTGTGAAATTAAATATCCTTTATACTCACTTGCTGAATGAAATGATTAATGCGAATTAAATGGTTTGTACGTAAAGGTAAGTATTTATGTTCTTATGGTCTTTTTTGCTGTTTTTATTTCATAAATTTATTTGGATGCTCTTTTATACTTACATCTTAGTGGATAATTAACGCAAATAAAATGATTTGTACGTAATGGCAAATAAGTTCTTGTTTTGTGAACTTGTTTTGCTGTTTTTTATTCGTAAAATAATTATACTCACTCGCTGAATGAAATGATTATTTTGCAAGTTTAATTCTAGAAATTAATTTAATTACGTGCTGAATTAGATGATTAATGCGAATGAAATGATTTGTACGTAATAGTAAATACAGAAATAAGTATCTATGTTCTTGTTTTATGTTCTTATCTTGCTGCTTTTATTTTCGTAAATTTATGGACGCCCTTTATACTCACAGGCTAAATTAATTCGAATGAAATGATTTGTACACAATGGTAAATAATAGTGATTTAAGCCGGCTATGGCAGCCGTGGCTAAGCTGGCTTAGCTGGCCGAGCCAGCCAATGTAATATGATCAGCTGGCTAATGCGGCTAAAGATCATATGATTAAGTATATAGTCGGATTCCAGTAAATTCCGAAAAGGAAAATGAAATACAAGCAAGGACGAGTAAGTTTACTGAAATTTTCCGGAAGTAAGGTGTTTGTCAGCTGTTAGCCAGCCGATTAGCCGATATTTTTATCGGCTGGCTTAGCCAGCCGACTAAAACCTTACGGCTTAAATCACTAGTCACGAGTAAAAACAGCCAATAAACAAGACGATCTACGTCAAATCTTAACATTATTGGAAACGATATACAGCATGCCGATAAAAAAAGATAGGAGTGGGTTAATAAATGCATTGTATACTTAGGCACTAATTGAATAAATTGTCACAATCAATGAATACTCTAAGAGCATAGTGTTAGGGTTGTTAACTTACATGCAAGTTTACTGTAACTTACATTAACATACTATTATTTACGTATGTTACAGTAATTTACTGTACATGTAAATTACATGTAAATTACATGTAAGTTACTGTAACTTACATGTAACTTACTAAGTAAATTAAATTTCAGGTAAGTTTTAACAACCATACATAGTGTATAGATACGCTCGACATCTCTTAAATAAAATAATTTGCACTATAAACAGGGTATTCAATTTATCCCGATATTATTAAAATAAAATATAAACTAAAGAGAACCACTTTTAAATTTAAAAATGAAATCTAATTAAAAAAAAAAAAGAATAAAAATCCTTTTTAAGTTTAAAATAAATAGAATGTATGATTATTTTGAATATTATAATGATATTGTGGAATTTCAACTTCTAAAGTTATCATGCAAAATGTGCGATGTGAAAGTGGAATCAAGGTCGAAGCATAAATAACGTTTGTTAAATGGAGTTGTGCGCGCTCATCTACAACAATATTATGATGCAAAGAATCTTATAGGTGTGAAATGTAGAAACGATCATTACATGTATATACTTTTACAGCAACTTTATCATAGTTTATCATTAAATGCCGGAGAAATGACTGCCGTGAAATGGGTTAATCCGAATCGATATAAACAGAACAAGTGTCGGTCCGCTGAAAAAAAAAAAGTAATCTATTATCTTCTCGGTTTATCTCCAATTGAAATAAGTAAGCCAATAATTAAATAAATGAATTTAATTAGACAGTTCTCGCGAAATAGTAGTTTGGTATTATAGTGATACGTATGATAATAAAAATTTGTTCTCTATATTATAGGCCTTTATTAATTAATATGGCTTATAACAAATTCCATATCGCGTAAATAATAAGTTTATTTTATCAAGATTCCTAATATTTTAATATAATATATAAAGAATTGATGTCTATACATTACGACGCGTTCGTCAAATTTAACTAATTTTTTGTCCCAAATTTAAGTTTTGGGGTCAAAATTTATTATCAATTTTCTAATATTGAACCCCAGAAAAATTACGCTAAGCAGGAATTTACGAACCACAAATTTCTATATAGTTAATGCGATCAAAGTAACACGGTAAAGTTGAATATTTCTTAAATTGTTGACTTCAACTATTGGCACTCTGATCTATAATAACAATGCGTCTAACCCATTTTCCCCACAGGCTAACCAATTTTCCAACTCTTTAACACATTTCATTGGACATATGAATTTATTATAATGACGCACCTTAACCTGGGAAGCGTTGTCTATCTTAGCTAAAATTACCATTTACGTATTAGCAGTCAATTTTTTCAAATTTTGGAGTATTTTACAAATGCGCCGTAATGATAAAGGGAAAATTCAAGTGTGAGGTCGTTTAATATTCTTTATTGCATTTAGGCTTAATATGATTTGTTCTAAAATTAAGAATCTGCTCTATTCATCGATAATATCGGGTATTTCCAATTAATATCTATAAAAAGAATTATTAAACAATGATATAATATAAAATAATATAATTTATCAAAAAACTAAATTTATAATTACCTTTGAAATCAATTTTAGATGAAATAAAATACTTGTACTTGAAATTGTAATTTACACAGTAATTTTGATTTTTGCTCAAAATATACGGGTTTATCATATAAAATTTCCCCATGATTATACCAAATGAATAAATATCTGATGCTTTAGTATAATGTTGTTTGGGCAAAACTTCAGGAGCGATGTATGGCAAAATTCCACAATTTCTATCAGACTTTGATTTTTGCATATTCCATAACGAGAATATAATCATTGGAAGCCTTATTTCTTGAAATACCGAACATTTTAAAAAAGTTGGATCTTTAAGACCAATATCACAATATGCTTTTAACTTATCATCAAAATGAAATATAATAAATTAAAATTATGATAAATCTCGATAATATAATACGACAGGTTGAAATCTTCCCTGCCAATTAATCCATCTGACCAAATTCGATGAATTTTTTTTTATTTGAATTCAATAAA